GCCTGGCATTTGAACCGCGGTCAACTACATGGGAGTCCAGCCACATAACCATTATACCATCTGCTGGTCCCAATAAATGGCATTTTGAAAATAATAATGAAAGGGACCAGTCATTAACACAGTGTTAAAATGCATCGCTCTGCAGTGCTGACACACATGGGAAGGTCCTGGTTCCGGTCCCCTGCCTGCACCAGTATGCTCATGTTTATGGAGATGAGGGGACTGAGCTGGAGGTGGAGCTTGTGTAGGGATACTATCTCTGTCTCTCTCTCTCACTCATAGAAAAGATAAACTTTTTAAAAAGTAACAAAGATATAATATTATAAAAAAGAAGGCATCAGATATTCATTGTAGACTTTAATTATCAGGCACTATGCTGGACCACAGGGATTGACTGAGCCATTTAATCCCCCAAAGCGATAGACAGTATCTACTATCAGGAGCCATCAACACCGGAGGCCTCCATTTATCATCTGCCTGCCTAGGGATTTGGGTCTGGGATTCAAGAGGCAGGGAACAAGCATTTCACACTCTGCCTCCACTCAGAGGTACCCACTTGAAAGACTTCCACCCTGGGATCTACATTGAGGACAACCTGGTCCAGCAGCCATTTAACCCCAGACTTGCACAATATCCCAGCGGCGTGGTGCGGGGCCTAGTGTTCTGGGCGGGGCTTGAGGAAGCCGACCTCTGCGGTAGCTCCACCGCGTTGCTACGAGACGGGAGAGTGCTAAGGTCGGCGACAGTTGGCCCCCGGCTGGCCCAGTGCACCGATCCAGAGTGGAGAACGTGAGCAGCCCGGCTCCCACCTGCGAGCTCCCGGGTGGGACGCCCGCAAGCTCCCCCGTTTGCCAGGCGAGGGTAAGTAACCACGGAGTGCTGGACATAGGGATGGGTGGCTGCGCCCTTTCCCGGCGCCCTTCCCAGGGGCCACCTTCCCTGGTGAGCCCTTCCCTGGCTGGCTCCCCCGGGGCGACCTTGTTAGGGCGACATTCCCCGGGGCCCCAACCCCGCCCGCCCGCGTTTCCTTCCTCCTGGGATCAGCCCATCTAGCGCCTTGCTCTCTCCTTGGCCCCCTGTGAGTCTCCGGGCAGCCCCGCCCCATTTTTATTTTTCGGGTCCTTGACTCGGAGGGGGTCCATCACGTCATCCCTAGGTTTTAGAATAATTCGCCATTTCAACCTTCTAGAAGTTGACTGTAAACCCAGCTGTTACTGATTTTTAATTTATTCCCCAAGCTGGGCTCCTTCCCATTATCTGTTGCAGAGCCGATTTACAAAGTGTCAGTGCTCAAGCGTTATTCAGTGGTCAAGCAACGGAGAGGGAGGACGACCTACAAATCAACTTCTCATTCAGTCTTAAGCTCTGGGTTGTTTCAGATCTAGTAAATGGGGTAATAGAATACAAGGGCAAGGATTTCACTCAAACATGGCTTATTAATTGTTTTACCAGGTTTTCCAAATCTTCCATAAATGCGTTCAATACGGTAACAATGAGCTACTTTAAAACATGAGTCTGAACCTAAATCAGTAAGAAAGGGTCCAAAATTTTTTAAGTCACTTGTCAACACCACTCTATTTTTAAAGTCTGATCCATATACATGTTGGTATGCTCATTGGAAAAATGCACAAATCATATATTTATTTATGCAGTTGCTACTTTCATTGGGATAAGAACTATGTGGCTGAAATGACTTCATTTAAATTCATTCAAAGCTGGTGCTACATGCAAAGAACTGTGGGAATTACGGTTTCAGAGTAGAAAGTAAATGCTGTCATCTTTAGAATATTGAATAAATTATGTAACGAAAATCTAGAGAAGGTAAGATCATAAAGCCGATTTTCTTATTTTTCATAGAAAAGTCATCAGTACTTATATATGATTGAAATAAATGACAGCCTCCTGATAGCCTTTATTACCTTTTTTAATTAAAAAAAGGGAACTTTTGAGGGAACTTTTAGGCTCCTCATTCTTAGTAAAGAAACACTCATTTGAAATTTAACAAGCCCTTCAATTTTATTTTCTTTTTCAAAAAATATTTTATTTAACTTTATTTATTTATTTATTTTAATTGACGAGAGAGGGAGAGAAAGAAGGAAAGTGAGAAAGCAAGCTGCCTGGTCTGGGACTTGAACTACAGTGAGCCATGTGGAAGTCAGTGCCCTTATCTACCATGCCACTTACCGGCCCCTCAATTTTATTTTCTATTTCCCCTCCTGTTAACCCCAGGTAAAACTAAATTTATCAGTCTGTAAAAGCATTTATTGTAAGACTCCTTTTTATAAAATTTTTAAGTTCTATCCTAATTTATCATGTATTTGGAATGATGTTTACTCAATAATAAAGATGTATATATATATATTTTTTTTTGAGAGGTTTTTGCTATAGGGCACATG